AAACATAAAGGCATCCTAAGCAAATGCTAGCAAAAAGAAAGCAAGCGTTGTGATCTTGATAAAAAAAAAAATCATAAATTTTTGCTAAAAGGCATTAAATCAAAAAACTTTTTTTTTTTTTTTTTTTTTACTGCTACAGATTCTATCACCAAATGAAGTATTGTGGTTTAGATATGAGGAGTCTCCCAAAAGCCCAAGTGTAAGACAATGCAAGAATGTTCAGAAGTAAAATGATTAGATTATGAGAGCTATGACCTAGCTCTGATTAATTAATTAATTTACTCATACAGATTAATCTGATGATAAGTGTAGATAGGTAGGTTGTGGCTAGAAAAAAGTAGGTCACTGAGGGCATGCCCTTGAGGTTTATGTTTTGTCCCTGGTGAGCCAGAGCACTCTCTCTACTTCCTGGTTGCCATGTCCTGAGCTGCTTTTCTCTGCCATACCATTCTGCCATAATGTGCTGTCTCACCCCTGGCCCAGAGGTATGGAGTTAGTTGACCATGGACTGAACCTCTGAAAACATAAGCCAAAATAATTTTTTCCTCCTCTACGTTGATCTTGTCAGATATTTTGCTCACAGCAACAAACTAGCATGAAGATATGACCAAAATAACATAATAGTATAGATCTTATGACAATTTTTTCAACTTTTGAACCCTAATAATAGACAATGCACTATTTTTCAAGCATTCATAAAACAGTCACAAAAACTGGGCATAAAGTAAGCAACAAAGAAAACTTTATTATAAAGTTCCATAAAGAGAAAATATCATAAATAATATTCTCAGGTAAGAAGGCATTAAAACTAGAAATTGATAACAAATTCACTATTACAAAATGATTCTTATATCAAAGGAGAAACACAAACTAAAATTGTCAAATTTCCAGAAAATGATGATAATGAATATTGTACATATAAGAATCTATGGGACACAATTAAAGCATACATCAGAAGAAAATTCAGAGCCTTAAATACTAATAGTAATATAACTTAAAAACTGAAAACAAATTCCTAGAAGAAAACATAAGGTCAACACTCCAGCATATACACACAGGCAACAACTTTCTCAGTATGAACCTTAAAGCTCAGGAAATAATGCCAAGAATTAATATATGAGACAGCATCAAATTAAAAAGATCTGCAATTGGAAATAACTGGGAATATGAAAAGACAACCTACAGAATGGAAGAAAATCTTTGTTAGCTACTCTTCTAACAGAGGATTAATATCTAGAATAAAGAAAGAGTTCAAAAAACTTTATGCCAAAAAAAATCAAATAACCCAATTAATAAATGGACAAATGAATTAAAAGACAGTTCACAAAAGAAATACAAATGGCCAATAAATATACGAAAAAAATGTTCAACATCATTAGTAATTAGGGAAATGCAAATCAAAACTACACTGAGATTTCATTTCATACCAGTCAGAATGGCAGTCATCAAGGATATAAATAATAATAAATGCTGAAGAGGATGTCAAGAAAAAGGAACATGTTTACACTGTTGGTGTAAATTAGTAAAATTACTATGGAAACCAGTATGGATGTTCCTCAAAGACTACACATGTAACCACCATTGACCCAACTATACCACACTTTGGTATTTATCATCAAGATTTAAAGTAATCACAATACAGTGATATATTCATACCTAGTGTTGAGAGCACAATTCACAATAGCCAAACTATAGAATCAGCCTAGGTGTCCATCAACAGATGGATGGATGAAGAAAACGTGGTATATATATACAGACACACACACACACACACACACACACACACACACACACACACACATATATATATACGCAATGGAATTTTATTCAGCAATTTAAAAAAAAATGAAATTATGTCATTTGTAGGAAAATGGATTGAACTAGAGACCATTATATTAAGCAAAATATACCAAATTCAGAAGGTCAAGAGTCGAATGTTTTCTCTCATGCATGAAAACTAGAGAGAAATTGGAAAGCTAGAGAGGAAACAGGAAAAAAAAGGTGGGGGTGGATTTCAAGGAAATCAAAGGGACCAAGAAGTGGGAAATGCGGAGGGAGGGGGGATGCAGGGGAGTGACACTGGCCAAACTATACTCTCATATTATGTACATGTACGAATATGTAACAACAAATTTCACCATTATGTACAACTGTAATACACAAATTTTAAAATGTGGAAAAAAATGAAACAAAAAACAAATAGCATTATACTAAAAAAGTTATAAAAAAGCAAAGTAGCAAAAATAAAGTAAAAGGAAAATACAATATAAACAAGAATTGAATTAGAACACCAAAAGAGAGCTGGGGGTAGCTCAGTGGTAGAGCACTTGACTAGCACGCATGAGGACCTGGATTTAATCCCCAGTTCAGGGGTTCAAACAAAAAAAACCTAGAATTTAATAAACAAAATAATTCACTGGGAAAGAATATCAACAAATTACTAACTTAATAAAAATAAGAATGGCAGAATTATATAAAATAAATTGAAAAAAAACATAGAAAAGAGATAATTCAGTCAAGTCATAACAGACTTTATTCAACTTCACGTAAATAAATATCAAAATCTTTTAAAATGAAAAATTTCTGAAAATTTAATATTTTTTAAAAAATAGATAATTTTGGCTCTTGGAGAAAGTTGCTAAAGCCCTTTATTGTGTGAGGTGAAAGTTTAAACAGAACAATTTCCATAGAGGAAACTTATAACTTTTTCTAGGAACTACCACCTAAAAGAATCACCATGCCCACGAGATTTAACAGAGGAACATTCAAAGGCCAGAAAACTCATTGCTACTTAAACTACTCCAGAACAAAGAAAGAGAAAGAAGATGATATATTTTATGAAGTAAATATAATACCCAAGTATGATAAACAATATGCACACACACATAATTAGTAGCTGATCTCACAAATACTGATGTATTTATTCCTGCAAATCCATGAATCTAATTCACCACAAATAATCAATGTATTGGAAATATGTGGTAATCACCACCTTCATCACATATTCAACTTAGAACCATGGAGTTATGAATGAACCTTTTGATAACCTCAGCATCATCTACAAAGTATACTCTTATCAAGAATGTTTAATTTGAATCTAATCAAGGTTTTAGACCAAGTTTCAAGTTTACAGAAAATTCACTAAATAAATGAACCAATTATTCCATGAAAATACAACTCAGATGAAACTAAAAATGTATTATATACAACGAGTCAACTGCCTGATCACTTCAATAAATCAATTCTATGAAGAAAAATTAAGTAGAAAAAGTAGTTGAAAATATAACAATATACATAAATTTTGACTACAATTTGATTCAAAGAAGAGTGATAAAAGCCATTTTACGACAATATGAACTGGTTGGCATTAAGCAATATTATTAATTTTCTTATGTGTGATAATGTTATAATTATGCAAAATATCCTTGTTTTAGGACACACATGCCAAAGTATTTAGGATTAAAGCAGGGTGATTCCTACAACATGCTTCTACATGTTGCACACACACCAAAAAAAAAAAAAAACCTACATACATAAACCTATATTCACATACAAATGAAGTGAAAATGGTCAAATGTTAACTGTTGACTCTAGTTAATGGTTACAAAGAGTTTCTGTTGAAAAGTAAGCACATAACTACAAAAGTGATCATTTAAGTACTAAAAGTAAGTAAATCATAGCACACTTCATTTAAAGGATTTTTAAAGTTTGATATGAGTGACACAAATTTTTAGCATATATTTTCAAAACCAACATTCATGTTTTGAAATGATCAGGAAGTTACAATCACCAGAAGAACTCTTATTACTTAGAGGGGAACAAAATTATAATACTTAACACATATATAATACTTAACTAAGTGCAGGTACCATTCTAAGTGAAGTGTAAAACTACACATATTAACTCAATTATCTAAACAACCTAACAAATCCATTATCACTATTTCCATTTTTCAGGTAAGGAATAAGCCAAAGAGGTGACAAATTAGGTGGCACAGCCAGACTGCCAAAATCACACAGTACAGCTCCAGATCCACACTTTAGCTACCACCCTATACAGTCCTCTAAGATAAAGGATTTTTTTCCTGATGTTGCTGACTTGGTTTTTCAGAGGCTATAACATCCACCATCTCTTTGAACTTAGTAAATCTAACAAATCCATAAGTATTCTGATAAACCAGAGAACTGCAAAAATTTAGATTTACATTTATAAAAGTGCAGTAAGAATGGCTTTAGGTGATTTAAGTAAATATTTGGTTATCTGAGATCTATTCATATTCTTAAAATGGAATCAATGACTACCTACGGTAACCATCTTTATAAATTAAAAAGTTTAAACACATGATCCCATTTGATTCCCTGGAACAAAGGTGGATAATTTCTCAACAATAAAATAATTACTCATGTGATGACAGTCTCTTCTACAAAAACTTTAATTTCAACTAAATGATTGAACAGATTATATAAGTTTGTAGCATTCAGTACAAATCTTATTAATTCACAAAGAAAATTCCAAGTTCATGAAAAATCAAAATACTTTTTCATGCCACGATGCCTTAAAAATAATAATAATTCATATAACAAAGATCATTCAATGATCCTAAAACAAAGTATAGATCTAGATGATAATAGAAAGCTATTATTAATTTTGTTAGGTGTAATAATGGTATTATAGCTATAGAAAAAAATCATTCATGAATTTGCATACACCATGTTTTAGGTAGGCTATATTATAGAAGCCTCTAATTTTTTAGTAAAAGAGAAGCAAATGAGTATTATTGCTATAAATATCAAACTTTATATTTTATAAACTTATAATAAAAATAATAATATAAAATTAATTTTTATTCAAGTACCTGCAGAATTGAAAAAAATATGTCTGAAAATATTGCTCATTCATGGACTATAATAAGAGGTAAGCAAAAAAAATAATAACTCTAGTTGAAGTAGAGAATGGGTAACCAGTTCTATTAAATATGCAGTAGATATGTAGAATTTTACCTGCTTTTTCTTTCAATTAGAATGGCCATATAAGATGCTGGTAAAGCGGCACCAAAGCCAGGAGTCCATGAGTAGAATTTTCCAAGTATCTTCCTGAAATTCAAATTTGGAATTTTTGTATGAAATTCCTAGTTGGTCATTTTAGTCAAGTTTCCCTTCTCAGTCTACCCTCTATACTTCAAATCAGCATGTCCAAAACCAAACTCATTGTCTCTCTTCCCTAACCCTGCAAACTTGTTCTTCCTCTTTTATTTTTCCAAGTGGCATCAACAATTAAGCATGTGTTATGTTTGACACTTAGAGTCATTTTCAGCTTCCTATTTCCCTTACCCAATATACTAAATCATGCCCTTAAATTACTGCATATACAATTCATCTCTCAAATGTCTCTCCAACCTACAGTCCCTGTCTTGGTTAAGTCTTTCAACATCTTTTATAAAGGCCACTGCAATACCAAACTAATGGATTTGCTAGTCTTCTAACCTAATTTCCTTCTAATAATTTAGTCAATCATGTTTATTCAGGCATTCCTTCAATGTAAAATACTGGCTATGCAAATCTTCTGGGTTTTTTATTTATCATGTAGGAATGATAATACTACCTGTCTCATTACAGCTAGTATGAGAACTACTTAAGATATTTCTCAGCATCACACAGGGCACACAGGAGGAACTCAAAGTATTAGAATAGTGCCCTGAACTTTATATATGACCATCAGCTGCTTGAGTTTTTTAAGAGGCTAAAAAAAAAAAAACCAGAAATCTGGAGACATTAAGAAGACTCTTCTTCCTTAAAAACAATGTTTCTGGGCTGGGGATGTGGCTCAAGCAGTAGCGCGCTCACCTGGCATGCGTGCGGCCTGGGTTCGATCCTCAGCACCACATACAAACAAAGATGTTGTGTCCGCCGAAAACTAAAAAATAAATATTAAAATTCTCTCCCTCTCTCCCTCTCTCTTAAAAAAAAAAAAAAAAAACAATGTTTCTAAGAAAGGGAAAGTAATATGTACAAATTATCAGAAATTATCTGAACAAAGTGGACCAATTGATAAATGATGCATGATAGGAAAAAAAATAGAGAGATTAGGATTAAAAATGACAGACAAGGGCTATGACTGTAGTTCAGTGGCACAGCGCTTGCCTAGCATGTGTGAGGCACTGGGTTTGATGCTTAGCACCACATAAAAAATAAACAAATAAAATAAAGGCATTCTGTCCATCTACAACTACAAAAAAAAATTTAACAAAAAAACAACAGATGAAGCTCAGATCTTAAGGACTGGAAAAACTACCGTAAATACTTAACCTGGGTATTTCTAAAATGGACAACACAAACCTGCCTGAGAACACGAGAGGTTGTTTTCCCTCCAATATAAAATCCACAAAGGACTTATTGAATATAAAATCTAAGGGAAAATTAAAATAAATTCATTGAATCAGTTATAGGAAGACCATGGATGTTACCTTAATAATAGTTAATTATAATATATCACACAAATAATTATTAAGTATAAATATTTTATGATTCTATAACTTAACCAAACAGGTTCACAGAACATAAAGAAATATGCTGCAATAGCAACTTGGTGCAATTTTTTAAAATCTTATTATTTATAACTTTATTTTAGAGCTTTAACAAGTCTTTGAAACTTTACAGAGACCACATGATGAAGAAAATTCCTTACATAGATTTTCATGTCAATTTAAAGACATGATTTGCTTAACAGTATGAAAACACCACCAGTTATTTTCTTCATCATCTAAAAGTTTACAAGTACTAATACACTGAGGAAAAGTCTATAAAAGATATTTGAAAATTAAATATTTAATTGCAGTTAAAATATATAGAACTACTTTGGGCAACAACTTGACAAATAAAAAATTAGTTTATTTTTAACAATCAGTGTGATGGAAAAGATAAAAAGTAAGTATGTAATAAATATGTTAGGTTTGTCACAGCACTCAAAAGACTGAATTCTATCTGCATCTATAATGTATAAAGCATGAAGCACAGGTAATGCTACAAAACTGAATCAGAACCAAACGTTCCAGCAGTAGGCTATATCAGGAGCTAACTTTTTTTTTCATAAACACATGCATTTTGTATTCCTTTTGAAGTTTGTTCACTACAGATAGCCCTAACCTATATCACAGTCACTTTGAATTCATGATTTATGAAACTAAAGAGCTAAGAAATTCCGATCAACAAATTGAAATTAAAACAGAACTCAGAAAATATATAATATACAAAAGTATTTTTGTTATATAATCATGCTAATAATTTGAAATGTATATAATATCTTGAGGCCAAGAAGCCCACAGCTCCTGGTTTTTTGGGTTTTGGTTTTTGGTTTTTGTTTTTGGGTGGGGAGGGGGATACCAGAGATTGAACACAGGGGCACTCAACCACAGAGCCACATCCCAGACCTATTTTCTATTTTATTTAGAGATAGAGTCTCACTAAGTTGCTTAGGACCTTAGGCCTTTGCTGAGGCTGCCTTTGAACTCAAAATTCTCCACCTCAGCCTCCAGAGCCTTGGGATTACAGGAAGCTCCACTGCACCCAGCAGCTTCTGATTTTATAAACTATCTTTGAAACAAATGTCATTTCACAGGTTTAAAAAAATAGAAATAAAAGCAGTGACCTACACAATGGTTATATAAACATCTGTTTGTTTCCATTTCAACAACAGAATTTGTATTAATATCTAGTGGTGATTATGAGTACCAACCTTAAAGTGCAAAAGAAAGTAATATACAAGGCCCCATTAGCAGTCAGAAATGAAGCGGATTGTAGGATCTCAGGGAGTAGTTTGTACAAATAATAGTCTAATTTTCGTTTCCGGAGAATTGCTGCAATCTGGAAAGAGAAAGGCTTTTTTGTTTAATCCAAACAACTATTATTAGCTTAAATTAGCTCTTATGTGGAAACTACTGAATAAACATGTATTTAAAAATAAAAGTTAAAAACTATGGCATTGTACTTGCTCCTTTATAAAAATATAACTTCAAGGACAGAAAGGAGATACTTGAATTTACTAAGGATAAAATACACACCAAGAAATTACAACTTGGATCATGTAATGAACACATTTCATAAATTGAGAAGCATTAAAGACAGTTTTAAACTGAAAAATGAAATACACCTTTAAATGGAAAAAAAATTAAAATTCTAATAAAATCTGATGCTATAACAAAACGACATTACAGATTTTATCAGCCTACCATTATTAGAGAATTTTAAGGATAGAAAACAGAAAAAGAAATTATTCAGTTATTCAAACATGACTATTATAAGGGAAAAAATGATAGAAATACAAAATTAACAAAGTTAATAATTTCTGGCTTCCTGGAGCCCATGTAAAACTATCAAATAAACCATTACTAAGAATATAATAACACAGGTAAGCACCACATGCCCCTAGAATACAGAAAGAATAATACCTAGACAGAGAATTGCAGAAGATTATGACAGTAATCTTTTATTATACACCAAATACACCAAAGTGCTGGGGGAAGGAGGGAGGACGAAATATATCTGAAATATATCTGAGCCCACAAACTCATGGTGTGCTTCAAGTTATTTGTGCAGATAACTGCAAAATTAAACTCAATAAAATGAATGCAATCTCAAAAAAAATCAACCTCTCAGTCTTTATGACATAGCTTTTAAATTTAAATTGAAAACTTTGAATTTTAATTATTTAACTATTATTTATTTATTAATTATTTTAATGGCTAATTTCCCTAACAATATATCAAAATAAAAAGATGATATTTAGTTATTGGTCACACTTTTAATGTTATAAAAAATAAAACAAAATAAATCACAATATGCTCAAAATGTGGATTATAGATATTTAAGAATTATTAAGTATTAGGAATATAATTCACAGGTACCACAGAAATTTAGCAAAGTGAATTTAATATAAAGTAGGCAGAAGTTTCATGGAAAAGGGGACATAAGCTGGATTTAGAAGAATAGAATTCTCACAAGTCATGAGAAGGAATACCTTTTTATCACAATGAAACAGTATATCAAAGGAATGAGTATTAGAACAGGATCAGGGAATGACAGAGGAGGTGTAAAAAAAAGGCAAAAATGACTGCAGCACAAGAAAACTCTCCATTCACTCCCTATCTTTCTGGAGATAACACTTTCCCTAAGGTCAGTGATCAACAAATCTAATGGCCTCTTCTAAGTTCTTCTGATGACCCCCTTGAAGTCTCTGAAACTGACCCCCTCCTATTTTAATTCAACATATGGAAAACAATGGTGAATAAGTCTTAATCCTTGTTTTCAAGGAATATAAAATTTTGATAGCAACAAAAACATATATAATAACCTAAAATATGGCAGTATGGGAAATGTTAGAAGAAGAGACATACGGGAGGAAGTTGGGAAGGGCAAGTGATAATGTCAGGAAGATTTAACTGGACTTTTAATATGAATCTTGACAGGTAGAATTTTAACAGGTGAGAAGTTTCTATGAAAGTGCATTCTTTTCATTTCTCAATTATCTACCTAAAGGCTATTCCTTCTTAGCAATTGGCCATCAAGTCTCTATACTCATTCTACGTGTGCTCTCTCCCATAGTATCACCTATCATCTGAATGTAGGAATTCCTAACCTGTCCCCTAAAATTTAAATCCATACTTTAAATGTGTACTGGGCATATCAGTATAGATATTCAATGAACACCAAAAAAATCAAAGAGTCCAAAGGACAATTCATTGTATTTCCCAAATGCATTTTTACTTCTGAATTCCCTATCCCAAATAGGAATAAAATGTTGGTGTCATTTTTAATTCCTCCTTCATCCTCAGCCATTGCCTCAGTTTCTTTTATCTTCAGGATTTCAAATGCAATGTCTCTTTATTTTAGACTTAACAATGGACAGAAACTGACAGAGTTATATATTCAAGTAATTACAGATCAGAGGATACAAGATAAAACATCCAAAAATCAATAGCATTTTTATGTAAGAGCAATGAACACATACACATAAATATGACATTTATAACTCCTCAAAAAGATGAAATACTTGGGTACAAATCTTCCAACACATTTATAGCATTTGTATGCTGAAAATACACAACACTAATGAGAGAAATAAAAGAAGATGTACATAAGTGGAGAGGTAATCTGTATTAGTCAGCTTTCCATTACTATGATAAAATGTCTGAAATAAATAACTTATAAGGAAGAAAAGTTTATTTTGGCTTACAGTTTCAATCCATGGTCAGTTTGCTCCATTGCCTTGGGGCCTGGGGTTAGGAACATGTGGCAGAAGAAACTGCTCACTTCTTGAGAAAGACAGGCAGTGGCTAGAGACCCAATAATCCCATTCAAAGGTACATGGCCAATAATCTAAATTCCTTTCACTAGACTTCCCCTACTAAAAGGTCTTCTACCTCAAAATAGCAACCTAGACTGGGGACCAAGCCTTAAATCATGGACCTTTGGGGAATATTCAAGATCTAAACTATGGTGACTGGGGTTGTAGTTCAGTGGTAGAGAGTTTGTCTGTTATGTGTGAGACACTGGGTTCAATTCTCAGCACCACATATAAATAAATAAAGTTCCATTGACAAACTTAAAAAAAATTCTAAAAAAATATGTAAACTTCAGTGTGGAGCTAGGGATAAAGCTCAGTTGGTAGAGTACTTGTCTCACAAGCACAAGGCCCTGGGTTCAATCCCCAGCACCAAATAAATAAATAAATAAATACAGTGTATTCCATGTTCATGGATTAGAAGATTCAATATGGTAAAAATGTCATAAATTATAAACTAATAAAAATATATAAATAAAATATAAGCTAAATAATTAATAGGCAGATCTAACAAGTCTTATCAGAACCCAAGGATTTCTATAGATACAGACAAGAGTATTCTAAAATTTATAAAGAAAAGCAAATGAATTAAAATAGCTTTGAAAAAAGTTTTTAAAAAGAAGAAATAAGTCTGATTTTAAGATATTGTTACATAGCTACAGTATCTGACCATGTAATATTGGCAGACATGGACAAATAGAGGAATAGAACAGAATAGAGAACTCATAAGTTCATGGAAATATATTCAGTTAATACAGTTAAATTTTTCCAAATGTACAAAAGCAAGTTCATGGGAGAAAGATAGTCTTTTCAACACATGGTGCTAGAGTAAGAGGGCATACATTAAAAAAAGAAAAGAAAAATAAAAGAGAGAACCTTAAGACTTACACTTTGTGCAAAAATTAATTCAAAATGAGTCATAGACATAAATGTAAAATATAAAATCACAAAACTTTTAGGAAAAAAAAATGAAGACAACCTTATAGCCACAGGATAGGTAACAAGTTTTTAGACTTGACATTAAAATCATAATTCATAAAAGGAAAATTTGATTAACTGAACTTCATCAAAATTAAAACTTTTTCTCTCTGAAAGACCTATTAGGAGGACAAAACGGCAAGCTACAAAATAGGAGAAAATACTTGCAAATCACATAGCTAATAAAGGTTAATATCTAGAATAAATATAGAAATCTTAAAACTCAACAATAAAAAACACAATCCATTTAGGAAACAGGCAAAAGATAATGAACAGACATTTCCCTAGACAAAAACATACAGATCATATATAACCACCAAGCTTGGTATACACACCTATAATCCCAGCAACTCAGGAGGCTGAGGCAGGAGGATTGCAAATTTAAAACTATAATGAACTATCATTATAAAACTGTCAGAATGGCTAAAATAAAAAAACAGTGACAACACCAAATGCTGGCTAGCATTAGAGAACTAGTTCATCTCTTCATTGATGGTCCAAACGTGAAATGATAAAGTCATTCTGGAAAACAGTTTGGTAGTTTCTTGAAAAACTAACCAAGCAATTACCATATGACTTCTAATTGTAGTTCTGGGTACTATCTCTGAGAAATGAAAACTTATGTTTACACAAAAATCTGTGCACAAATATTTATAGCACTTTTGTTCAGTTTTTTCCCAAAACTGGAAACAACTCATGTGCTCTTCAACACGGGAACAGTTTAACAAACCATGATATAACCATTCCATGGAGTAAATAGTACTCAGCAATAAAAAGCCCCAATCTAGTGATATATCAAATGGCCTTGATGAATTTCCAGAGAATTATGTTGAGTGAAAAAGCCAATCCCAAAGGAGACATACTGTATGATTCACTCCTCTAATATTAATGAAATGACAAAATTATAGAAATGCAAAATAACTCAGTAGTTAAGGGATTAAGATGATATTGGTAAATAGAAGGGGAGTAAGTATGGCTATACAAGGACAAAACTAGGGATCCTTGCCATGATGGAAATATTCTGTGTCTTGACTGTATACATGGTAATATTTTATTGTAATATTGTATTATTGTTTTGCAAGATGACAGCATTGGAAGATCTCTATAATTTCTTTCAAATGCATGTGAATCACAATTATCTCAAAATAATAATAAAAAGGTCAATTTATCTTTAAAAACCAGTTTATGCAGCTTCCAATCACTCCTGCAAGGTAGGCGGGCCTGCAACCCACCAGAAGAAGAGGAGCACCGGCCTGCTGAGAGGCAGAGCCGCCCCCCACCCCCCGCGCCTGCCAGGTAGGCGGAACTGTGACCACCAACAGAAAAGGCCCAGTGGCCTGCGGCAGGACAGAGCTTCCAATCACTCCTGCAAGGTAGGCGGGCCTGCGACCCACTGGCAGAAGAGGAGCAGCGGCCTGCTGAGAGGCAGTGTCGCCCCCTCCCCCTGCGCCGGCAAGGTAGACAGAACTGTGACCACCCACAGAACAGGCCCAGCGGCCTGCTGAGGGGCAGAGCCGCCCCCCACCCCCCGCGCCTGCCAGGTAGG